AATTTGAATCTAGTGCTTACGAGCGTATGGTTGAATCGATGAACTGAGGATTGTGCGTGAAGGTGAAGTTCGAAGGATAGTCAGTCAAATCAATCAAAGTAGAATAACAGTACGCAGGGTGGGATAGAATTATTATGACTCGTTCACAATCAATCGTGTCAAGCGTATGTTCAACTAGGCAGCAATAGAACTAACAGCCAACCAGGAGGGGACCCATGTGCGCCGGCCGTGTTGGCATAGACAAGTGAGTAAGGTTGATCGATCTGAATAGATATCAATTGATAACATCTGTGGAACGAGCAAATTAACGATGTGCACGTTGATAGAACGTAAGCATGCACGTACGCAACACTTTGTATTAGAGATTTTTGTTTCAATCCCTTGTGGAAATGATGAATATGCTATTATGCCCATATTCAAACCCGATGAAGAGAAAAAGTTAGATTTTTTCACAATACTGTAAAAAACCCCTGTATTTAATGGGAAATATGGACATTTTGAACTAGTCGAGAGCATATTGGAAGAAGGTCAAGCGTGCGAAACAAAGGACGGGGGTAGAATGTTCACGGTACTCAAGGACCACAGCGTCAAATTCAAAATAGATGACACGTGATAAACTCGATCGATAACTATATATCGCACAGAATAGAACGGATTAAGCTAATCCAAACATTCCCAGAACTTTGGTTAATCACGTGTTGATTAGCCATTAATTTATCGATCGGTTCGATCTTAAAAACGCACACTAAGTTGCTCTGAATTTGCTCAATTTTCCATCCTAACAAGTTAATGAGGTAGAGGGCAATCAAAAAATTGCAATGAAGTGCAATAAAGATTATTAACAGTTTTTTGGGGAAAAAACAACAGCCTTAATTGTTTTTTGTAGTGACAGCGATACGATAGATTGAACGGCTTGTTAATAAGCGGTCCGTTTAATTTACAGTGCTTGTCTTTCATGCACCCAGTGTGGATACACTTGTTCAGACATAATATAACATCCACACAGTTGTTGTTGGTGATGGTTGGGAGCTGATCACGTGTGGTCATTTTACACAACTGGAATGGAGCCAACATTGGCCGGATCTGTTCTATTGATGAAGTCATTTTTGCTCACGCACAGGGGACTGTGTCAGACGATCGATAAACAGACAATTATGATACACAGCATGACATCAACTGGTTAATTAGATGAAGCAGATATTCCTAGTGTGGGCTAACCTATTAAGCACTAACATACATGCCTTCTGTGTGAAAGTTCTCATGCTTTGATGGGAGATCAAATTCGAGTCCACATTTCGGTTGGCTAGAGGGCTGACTAGTGATTGTGCGGACAAGTAAAGTGGCAAGGACGGTTCAGGTCAAGTCCACATCATTTGTCAAGCACCAACAAGTACAATCAATTTTGAGGTAAACGATCAGAATTTTGAAAATGCGAGTAAGTGATGTTGAGCTTTTTTAACATTAGAAATACGTTTTCTGAAGCGGAATGACTGTCTGTTCTGTTTTTGTTGCTGCCATGTATCATTAACGTAACGTTCCCTGTGGAGTCCCCAATTAGGAATACTGGAACCGGGAAGCAGGGCCTGTACCTTTGAGTTTCGTAATGGAATGTCACCAATTTGTGTGTGTGTGTGATTGAGTGCATTGTGTGAATTCTCTGATTCAGTGCGTTGTAAAAAAATCTCGATTTCTTTCTGATTCAAATAATAATCAATCCTCGGCTCCCCTACTTGAGCTGTAGCATTTACAAACCATTTAATTATACAGTGAGTATTAACTATTTCACTTTGAACACGCTTAAATCAATAAAAAAAGACAATGTTAAACTTTAAACAATTATCAGGGGTAAATAACAGCACAAATAATGAAGTGAATGCAATCACTGGATAGGCACAGATGAAAATTTGGTCCGTTTTGATCCTTTTTCCTTTATGAGCAAATTTATTTCTTTATTTGTTTTTTTTTCCAAATTGACCGTAACAAATCAAAGCAAAACCAGTTTATGGAACAGAAATCAATAATTGATCGATTATGCTTTCAAGATTTAAAAAATGAACGTAACGTAAGCGCAACTATGGATGAAAACTTGCAATGATCCTAAGAGTCCGTGTGTTCGGACATTAATCATTGAATGTCTGAAAGTAAATCCCCGTAAAAAAACACATATCACTAATGCACAACGTATCTCAAAGGGTCATCCGAGCTAATGAGACTGGGGTTTCACCGCACTGTCAATAGGACTAAGCCATTCAGATCTACGATATTTGACGTATCAAACAATCAACCTGGCTTCGATTGTTGGCCAAACGTCATGAGCTCTGTGTGTGTGTGTGTGTGACCTCACAATTTAATCCGTTCTTTCTCCCTCGCTCTCGCTCTCCCGCTAGGTCTTCATTCCTTCCTTTAAGTATGCATTAACAAATGATGCATGATCTTGATTGGAGCATTCAATAGCACATATAAACAATCACACGCATATATGCATATGGATAGAAATGAACAAAAATAACTAATTAGAACAGGAATTTGATGGGAATCATTTGTTTCTACAACATTCCCACACAGAATAAACTAACTCCCAGAAATTAAGATTCAGACTAGTAGAATATTTTGCCCGGTTGTCGCACTGATGAATTGTCCCGCACTATGCACCTGACTTTTAGATTTTTGTAAAGGTTGCCATTTGGGAGATATAGTGAATTGCGTCGTGTTCAGAGCGAATGTGATCAAATCAAGTCAAAGAATTGCTTTATACACCACTAGAGGTTGGGGTTGGATATTCAGCATGAAGTGTGAATAGAGAAGCTGGGAAGCAGTGGACAGCTGTTTTGCCCCCTACTGGATCTCATCAACAGTTCGTGAATTAATCGCAATCACCGTGGATCAAACGGAGACCTCACAGGTGGAACGCAAGCATACCACACAGAAGTTTACAATATAACCAATCTTTGCGATCTGGTTGCGGGCATCCCACCTCAATCATCTCAGAACTAGCATCCAGGGTTACGAGATGAACGACTGAAATGAAAACGGTCTGATTAGCTGTCTCACGATAGTAAATTGTGTACTATGCTTGCAATCTACCTGTGAGGTCCCAGGTTCTGGATGCTCAGTTGGGTCGATCGATTTGAACTGCTGATGAGACCCAACCAGGTTCTAACAACTCTTCAGTGCGGTCTAACATTTTAGTTCACACCCGGTCTGCTCTGTTCACTTGCAAATTCCCTAGATAATCAAACAGAATCTTCCACCCTTATCCTGTAACAAGTAGTCAGTTTGGAGTATTTCTAACCGAATCACATGCCCTGGGGGCTAGTACAGAGTTGCGCAAGGTGTGGCGCGCGCATTATGGTCGCACAAAGATGGGGGTGCTAGTTCGTCTATAGACAAAATGAAAAGCGTTCTGATGAGCTGCTCCGTGGTGGTCAAGCAGGTAATAAACTTGCGTTCAACCTGTAACGTTCCGGGTTCGATCCAGGTCAAGCCGGGTGTAGAACACTTCTTAAATTTTCAGTCCACGCTTTATTTGTTCTGCACGCAATGAACTACTCACTTGTATAATGAAATCAAACATTCCCTTTATTTCATGTGACAAGTGACAAAACTCGCGTTGAAATCACAGCCATAGTGTACCCATTTCATTTTCAATGAAATGTTCGTCAAATGGATCTCAGAAATCAGAAAATATTTATTTGTTCTTTTAGGGGAAAATGAGAACTTGTCATTAACCATTTCTTTTACCATGAATGAAAAGAAACAAAAATGAAAGACGAAAAATTTCCTGATTCCTGATATCGATTATCAGCAATCATTTTCAGGATACAGATTAAAAAAATGGCAGAACTCATAAATGTCTCTTTTTTCTCACAACGGTCAGAAATATACTAGACCTACTAGAGTCAATTAGTGTGTTCAAACTTGTAACCGAAGAAAATGTATATCAATTATCCCGCTCACTTGTCGGAAGTACAAGGACCTATTTCGAATGAGACATTTCGTTCGATGTAATAGTATTCACCCCTTTCCGATGCTGTTCTCCGAACAACAAGTTTTCCTCGTCCCAACAATGCCTTGCAAAATTATAACACTAGGATTGTCGTATCCACTTGTTCTTTGTGACCTGGAGCATAACCCGTCCGCCCAAATTAGGCACAATGAACAAAATGGAAACATGAAACATTGGGTCCCTTATATCCAATTCGTTAGAACCGATAGAAGACAAATACTGTGAGATGTTAACATTTCTTTTAATCTCTTCAGTCGCTAGAACGTAAAACAATCTGGTAGTTATAAAAGCAAGTTTTGATAACTACAGTGGTAAAACGGACAATAGTCAGGGAAGCGAGGAAGAGGGTGGGGTGGAAAATCAGGTCCATGGCAGTCTGACTGATTTTGTAAGAAACCGTCATGAGCACAAGATTCCAGAATGTCAAATTTCAGTTCTTCAGGAAATGCTCTCGATATATTTTTCCTAGTCCACTAGACACGAATCACATTTTGGAAGGGAATCACGGGCGTTTATATATAAACCTGGACCAAGCAGATTGTTCGGTCTGCAAAATAAAGTCCTATACGGACCAATCATAAAAATAAAACTGATGCAGTAAAATAAAGGAACAACTCAATTTACAACACATCCTTCTTCTTTTAAAAGTTTTTCGTCATGATCATCATTGTTATATCTGTTCGCTTCACGATGGGGATTGTGCCGTCTTGCTCATCGTTGGCATTTTTTTCTGCCTTTCTTGTGCACTAATTTCAACATCCTCTTGCGCAGCAATTGGATGTTCACCTTCTTTCTCTTTCTTCGTCTTAGTCGTCTTCGACAATTCGGTCCCTTATTAGACTTCTTTCTAGACATGCACCGTGATTGTACGCGCTGTCTAGTGACATGCTGTTCCCTCCACTGGTTGAAAATGAATCGTTCATAAGTCTCGTCAGATTCACCAACACGGTACCGCTCCCTTTTCGACATCATTTCCTGTCAATCTGCACTTCCCTCATCCGGACTGTGCATGAATCCATTTATGATGATCGGAGCAGCCGGGTCGATAGTATGACGGAGCCAATTGTGCGGGACTGGATTCGCGGTCCGTCTTTGTCACCGCACGAAAATCTGCATACTGTGTTCGCCACAGTCTCCATGTGTTAGCCAATCGCCCCGTTTTCTCCATAATCAGATAAGCCGGCGGTGGGATCTTCAGTTCCTTAATCATTGGGAATTTCACGTCAGTTTCCGCTACCACCATGTCAAAAGTCCGTTCTTCAGCAAATGCTTTTGATCTATTTTCTCTAGTTCACTGGACACGAATCACAGTTTGGAAGGGAATCACAGGCGTTAATAAAAACCCTGAACCAATCAATTCAAACACCACTTTCCAACTCAGAAATTTATTCGTGTGCATAGCAGACGCAAGACACCGGTTGATGCCGTCTGCTAANGAGCGCCTTTAAAGATGATCATATAATGAACGACGTGCGTCAAAAGCTCAAAGTGGAATTGTGCCGAACGTTTCCTACCGCACAGCTTCGATTGATACCGTATACCCAAGGACTTCGTTTAGACAATTGTAAACAGAACCAGTCAAACAATTCTGTTTCACATATCATCTACCAATTCACCTGCAGTTGCGGTGACACTTTCATTGATAGAACGAATCGGCCCCTGCCACAGCGGATGTCTGAACACATTCCCAACTGATTGGTATAATCGATGACGCAACAAAGTCTTACAGGTCAAACTGATAAGAGAAATCCAGGGTCATCAATCGCAAAGATCTCATGGCAACTGGACACATCGTTGACCCACAAGTGTCGTTCAAGGCTTTATTACGTAACTTGAACCCCGGGATTTTGGCGTCTGGCGAGGCGATGCTAATCAAGTTACTTAACCCAATCTTGTGCTCATGACGGTTTCTCACAAAATCAGTCAGACTGCCATGGACTTGATTTCCCACCCCACCCTCTCCCCCGCTTCCCTGACTATTGTCCGTTTAACCACTGTTGTTACCCAAACTTGCTTGTTTAAATACCAGATTGTTTTACGTTCTAGCGACTGAAGAGATTAAAAGAAATGTTAACATCTCGCAGTATTTGTCTTCCCTCGGTTCCAACGAATTTCCTGTCTTTCTTCTACTGCCTCATCTAAATGAGCAGCAAAAAGACAGCAACCAAAACCGGCGCATAAAAGCCCCTGATCATACGAACTGAACTGAACTGGAAGCGCATGCAGGCCATAATGATCACTGGATATTGTGTCGTCTTAATACTTAATCCGTATCACTCGTTCCGAAAAGCTGTCTTTCAATTTTTCAGGTTCGCATATGAGAGCAACAAAGTGTGATGAATTTACCAGCGCACAGTTACCACCTGACTTTTCGTACACTTTGTTCCCTGAGAGAATATCAACAATTTGTCCCGGGGCGGTTGTCCATTTAGAGTATATGGTCGACGGATCTGAATGATATCGGGCGCGTCTGTGCGTTGTGGATAAACAAACGGTCTTAGCGGTACACAGTGGATGTAACCTTGTATTATATGCCCAAGATTTTCCATGAAGCTAACTCATCCTCAAGTATGAGGTATTTTGTGCATTTCACATACATCGTTGATAAAGGTTATAAAGGTTGTGCCGTGATTTATTTGACACAGTCTAAACTCAAGTATGATGAAGTCAGGGAATCATTCAGTCTTGGGTTGAATACTGCACCTACTTCAACTTAATGCTCTAAGAAACACCTAGGTAATGGTCTATCATCATTTGTAGTATTACGGACATATCTGTAAGCTGTGCTGGCCCGGTGGTAACGTCAACAAATTATCGCCCCCGGAGG